GGATGTGAATGACTAGTCGCTCTCTCCTTCCCCCCTCTGCCTCTATCAGAAAGACGCAACAAGAGCTGCGGGGAGAGTGGAGAGGGTGCTTCAAAGCAGCAGCACCGCATGGAGCCTGGGGCCAGACCTGGGACTCCATGAGGTGCTGGTACTATGAAACACTACGTGGAGCCTGATGTTGGGTTCCCCATAGCATTTCAAAGTGGCTGTGCCACATGGAGCCTGAGCTGACCCCAGACTCCATGTGGTGCTGCCATTTTGAAACGCCTCAGGAAGCCTGGGGCCAGCGCTTCCCGCAGCGCTTTCACCTTCAAAGGCGAAGGTGCCCTTATCGACTAATCAAATTGCTGATGCAAATTGCATTGACAATTCAATTAGCCAAATAATCAATATTTACATCCCTAGTGGAAATGCCCAACCTACAGCAACTATTCTTTGAAGTTGTGCGATGCCTAAGTTTCTGCCCTGCAATATTCATTGTAATGGGGATTCCAGAAGGCACCTGCCTAATCTGCAAAAAATGTTGGAAAGGTTCATTTCCAGGCAAAAGCCAGAATGCATTTTGACTGTCCAAAATTCCACATCATCTTGGACAGAAAATTAGATGAGACTTGTAATGTAACAAAACAAAACAAAATGTGAGATTGAGCTCTATTTATATAGTCAACAAGTCAAGGATTAGGGAAGTGATTGATACTTCTCTGTGTGGCCATAGTGAAAGCAATGGAATACTTTCTTTGGAAAGGAAGTTGATCTAAATTGATCAGTATTTTCTTCATTCACATTGTGTTCATTTTTTTTACCTTCACTCTTTAGGTGTGTCGCCTTCCTGTCCAGGAATGTGCGAACTACTCAAACTGTTCTCTTTGTATACAAGCACAGGATCCCTACTGCGGCTGGTGTGTAATGGAAGGGAAGTAAGTATTGTCGATATTTTGCAGTGTGAGGTGGGTTAACACTGTTCATAGAGAGTCTTTGTATCCAGTGGTGTAATGGCTAATGCTGATTATTTTTATAAAACAAACATTTCTGTTAGTCACCCTGCTCATATAAAAAGTTGATTGACTTACATATTTGAGTACATTTAGAAAGTTTCTTTTATGCTTCTAAACATCACTGTGTATTTTATGATTGCATATTTTATAAGTCTGACAGTGCATTCAGCATTTTCCTGAAAATCAAAGGGATCGCACCTTTTTCAAATGCAGAGCATAGCGTACGATTGGGTATAGCAAGTAGGCAAGCAAGCAAGACTGCAATGAAGAGAACTCCTAATACCCAAGAAATATATATCAGTCCAACACAGTTTTATTATGAATTGCTCTGTAATGAAAGTCATAGCGTGCTGAGCTCGAAGCTAATCATAAGAACATAGGAACTGACACTAGACTGATTTGTCTATGTATGTAACTAAATTTAATATTTAGAAGCATGTATTCTTCTTCAAATGATGGTCCCTTCTCTATTTCTCTCAGGGCTATGTGCATCTGCCTTGTATTGCCTCCTGGCTTCGCCTGAGGCAATAAAGGGCACAGTAGGCCATCAGCATCTCCAGTTTCTTCTCATCACCGCATGAACTGAATCAGAGCTTCTACTCTCTTCTCATTCTTGTGATGCATTTTCCAAAACTTTACATAAAGACTCTTAGTACTGTTGTTTGTAGTTTAAATTTATCCTGTATTTTTGTCATAGTAGATCTATGACTTGGGACTTTGATTTGGTGTGGTTTCCAGCCAGACTTTGTCCTACCCCAACCCCAACCCAGCGAGTATCCAGGCCTAAGTACTGGATTATGCCAAAGAAGATTTATGATTTCAAAATCTGTGCCTTCTGCTCTCCTTCCCCCTCTCATTTTCCATCAGCAGTGAGCATCAACACTGTTTGCACTGCGTGGGGGATGGCCATATCACATCCAGGTGTAGTATCTGCCTCTCTTTCTCTGTCCATACTCAAGAAAACTAGACTGTCCAGCTCAGGAAACTCTTTATGGAGTTTGCCTTAGGGCCTAACTCTGATCCTGGCCAGAGAATTCCCAGGTACATTGGACTCAACAGGTGAAGAGTGCTCCCCCTACCATAGAACCTTCATTGTGCTCCACTAGTACCAGTGCTAAGGACCCTATAGGAGGCCTGGCCATGGACCAAGGAGCTATGCACATAAATTTGTCAGTATGTCTTTTTCCAAGTCTAAGAGAGACTTGATACCATACATGATTTCTGGCCACAAAGGAACAAAACATTCCAAGACTCACAAGATCAACTGCCGGATCCATCAGTACCAATCATGGATCCTGGAACTCTGCCTATTCCAGCTTTGCCAGTGTAATGGGAGCCGTCAGTCTCCAGATAGCTGCAGTTACCCATGCCAATGACTCCAGCAGAATGGACCGTTAAGCCTTGGGAAACTTGTAAGTGCTCCATGTCCCCATGAGTTGTTTTCACTGGAGAATCTGTGGGCTCTAGGAGCCTTGATCCAATCACCAGCTTATAGTGTTATATAGTTTATGCTATGTTCCTGCCATTTATTTTCAGTGGTGCTCCAGTAGTTCTGATGACACCTCATTTGCAAGGTTTCCAACTCCTCTGATTCAGATTATATAGGTGTCTGCCAGAGTCCACTGCTCCTGTTCCTACAGCACAACTGCTGGCAGGTTTTGATGGCACTGTGGCAGTTCCCCACCTTACCAGGCTGGCCATACTGCAGCTCTTGGCCCCAAAATTCACCCTTTGAACAGACCTGCTTCATGTCATCCACAACCCTCATCAGTTAGGCACCAACTCTGAGGTACCGATTGATCCAGAGAGGCATCCCTCATCTTCTCCAGATAGGATCACCTCTTCAGATCTCTTCTCTCCACTGGAAAACTATTGACAGTTTCAGGAACTGCTGTGGAGAATAACAAATGCCCTGGGGATATGTTTGAAAGAGACTACAGGCTGAGAAAAGGTACAATGTCTCTCCAAAAGGTCAAAGTTTCTATTTCTCATCGTACATTCAACTTGTTGGTCATTCAGGCAGCATCAAAATATTCCAAGCAGCGCCCCCCACTCCATTCCATCCAATAGATAGGATAAGAGGCTAGACCTCATGGGCAGACAGGTCTTCTCAGTAAAGGAAGCTATTTCATGTTTCAAATTACTTAGCCCTGATGGCCAAGTATGATTGTATTAACTACAGATGATTGGCTGTTTTCTCAGATAAGATCACAATCAATTACAGGAGTTTTGCAACAAGGCAAGTTACGTGTCAGGTCTATGCTACAGGCCACAGTGGACTCTGCAGACATGGTATGCCATGTTTTGGCAACGGGGATCCTCATGAGGAGGAAATCAGTTACACTCCTGGCTTTCCCAAGGAAGTGCAGAACACTGTAGAGGACCTTCCATTCAACCAATCATGTATTAAGGTACATGCAGTTGCCATGACCACTTTCACCCATCGGTTGATGGCCATGCCATTTTTACCCAACACTTAACTGTACAATTCTGGAAGGACATTCTGTGAGAACACCTTAGTCTTTAGCCTATCGCCCTCCAAAATAACATTAACCTAGGTCTCACCTAATTGACAAATACTCAGTTCGAATCCATAGGCTCCTGCTTGCTGCCTTGCTTTTCTATGAAAGTCACTTTCCTCATTGGTATTACATCATCCAGCAGATTGATGAACAGAGACTCATGATGGCTAACCTCCCTTCACCATTTTCCATAAAGACGAGGTCTCTTTATGCCTTCATCCCAAACTGGTTTCTCATTTACACTTCAGTCAACTTATATGCTTTCCTACCTTCTTGCTCACACTACTAATGAGGATTGGAAACTTTATGTAATGGATGTTCTCAAGGCCTTGGCTTTTTTGAATGGACAAAGCCATTTTGGAACTCTTCTAAGCTTTTTGTAGCCATAGAGGAGAAAATGAAGAGGCAAGCCAATTTCCATCCAGGCAGTTTCTAAGTGGGTATCAGGGTGTATTACGTGGTGCTATCAGTTATCAGGACCATCCCCACTTGGAGAGATTCAGGCCCATTCCAGGAGAATGCAAGCATCAACTACAGCCACGCTCCATAACATGCCCCTTACAGAGATATGCAAGACGGCCCCTGGGAGTGTGGAAGAGGTGTGTACCAAACATTATGGTCTAGTAAATGATTTTGCTAGACGCTTTGTGCAGAATAGCAATCCTCCGTTCTACAGTCTTTTCACACTGTCAAATCACATAGGCACTGCTTGTTACTCATCTTCAGTGGAATACAATAGGGACCATCACTCGAAGAATAAAACAAAATTACTTATCTGTAACTGGCGAGTCTTTGAGATGTGTGGGTGGTCTCTATTTATATTCCAAACCCTCCTCCTTCCCCTCTATGAGCAGAAACTGGAGACACTAGTGCCCTTGATCACCTCAGGCAAAACTAGGAGGTGTGCTGCAGGTCACATATGTGTGAACCACTGAACAGAACTTCTTTCAAAAGCTCTAGCTCCAGGTACAGGGTGCATGCACACTGCTCTCAGTAGAATACAGATAGGGATCACGCATCTTTCAGTTACAGGTAAGTAACTTTGTTATCTATGAGTGTGTCGAATAATCTTGGAATGGCTCTTCTTTTTACACTGCGTTGATGGGGACAGAATAGGAGCTACCACCTTATAATTCTGCTTTTGACTGTTAGGTTAAAATAATCCCTTGGCATGAGCAGGAAGTGCTTGCTGTCTGCACAAAAGGGTTATTTAGTTATTGAATGCAGAAGAATTTCAAGCCTATTGCTTCCTGTTTAAAAAAGTGACCTGTCCCTTTAAGTTACAAGCTTGATGTTAAGCAGAACACTGAGTAACTAGGGGAAGGTTATGCATTTCACACAGGTTTGTGTAATGTAATATAGCTTTATCAGTTTGTTTGGTTAGCGTATATATAACCTTGGCGATTTAGAATATGTGAGCAAGTTGGACTTAGGCTACTGGGAGATGAAGGCTGTGGCATATACCATACAAATGGCAATTTTCTCTAGGTTTCTGATATAAGGTCTGACCTCATAATTGCAAAGTATTACTGGTCCCTGTGAGACCAGGCAAACATGCATTTTTGTACATTTTCTAGTATTTTATTAATTTACAAGGAAAATATAGAACTCATTTTTAAGTTTTACTTAGTTATACCAAATTATAATTCCTCCTCAAACAGACTGTATGTATATGCATAGGCATTTATGTGTGTGTACATAAATACATATAGTCTGTATATCAACAGTCTTCAAAAGGCAGTGTGGCCATTAGAACTAGAGTGATTTTGTCACTTGAATGCTGTTATTTTAATAGTAATATATCCATAAATGTCCATAAGCATTACTCAGGATTAGTTACCATTGTGCTAGGTGTGAATGGTGTACAAAACTGAACAAAAGTTTTGTGGGTTCTCTTCAGCTGACTCTTCTCCTGTTACCAAGTGTGTCACTCTCTTAGAACCAGTTATACCTTTCCTGTTTGCCTCCTGTCTTCTGGTTTTGACAGTCCACTTCGCCTGTTAGCAAAACTCCACAGCCTCTGCTACCCTGCTTTCTTTAGTAGCTAAAAAATGCCAGAAAGTGGACCTGGAGTGGAATCTTTCAAACAGGAGCCATAGCTGATGAATTGAGTCACTCTTGTAGTTAATAGCCCTCTAACATTGGAGTCAGTCAAGCCCACAGCCACAGTTTTGATGCTCTCTGAGTTTTATGCCTCAGTTGTGTGACTGCAGCAGACACACAAATAAATTTTTCACTTGGGCTGTAGAAACAGAAGACTGATCATAGGTCAAGGAATGTAAAGTATGATAAGACATAGATGGAACAGGTCTGATTTGGATTAACTGCAGGTAACTAGTTCATTCTCTGAGTTCTTTGTATTAATTATCTGTCCATAGGATTAGATTGTCTATTTTTATGGAATATAAAATGGCCTATGGGTAAATACTTGTGTTTTACTTTATAATCCTGATGTTTTACAAGCAGCTGTCCTGTTAAAATTAAAAACCTAACTGAAAATGAAATTAATACAGGTTGGACCTCCCTCGTCTGGCAGCCTCAGTACCTGACTGATCCCAAACAAGGGGATTTGCTGGACCAGGGAAGGTCCTTTCCAACATGGCCCCTTCTGCCCTGGGCTAGGGCTCCTTCCTGGCTGTGGCTTCCCAGGCCAGAGTGCCGCAACCTGGGACGAAGCTCCATGGCTGGAGCCGGAGCTTGGTGGGCAGGGCCAGAACTCCCTAGATGCCTCTGTTGGCCCCTTAGCTACCGCTTTGCGCTGCCTGCCCCTCTGTGCTCCCCTCCCACAACACAGGGGTCCCGGCTGAGTCACCCTCTTCCTGCAGCTTCTCCTGCCCCGTAGCCCAGCCTCCCTATACCTCCCAGGAACATCCGTGGTCCTGCCAGACCAGAGAGTCCCAGTTAAGGGAGGTACAACCTGTACCTGTCTTGTCTTATTATTTCAGAAACATTTCTGTGTCAGCCTAATTTTTTTGGAAGAAGTTATTTAAAGGTTTAGAGAACATGACCTATGAAGCCAGGCTTCATGAATTGGGCTTGTTTAGTTCGGAAAAAAGAAGATTAAGGGGGGACATGATAGCGGTTTTCAAATATCTAAAAGGGTGTCACAAGGAGGAAGGAGAAAATTTGTTCCTCTTGGTTTCTGAGGACAGGACAAGGAGTAATGGGCTTAAAGTGCAGCAGGGGAGGTTTAGATTGGACATTAGGAAAAAATTCCTAACTGTCAGGGTGGTCAAATATTGGAATAAATGCCAAGGGATGCAGTGGAATCTCCCTCTCTGGAGATATTTAAGAACAGGTTAGATAGACATCTGTCAGGGATGGTGTAGACGGAGCTTGGTCCTGCCTTGAGGGCGGGGGGCTGGACTCGATGACCTCTCGAGGTCCCTTCAAGTCCTATGATTCTATGATTCTATAAGTGTAGGGAACACTGATTTGAATCAACTTCGTATTAAATATTTATATTGTGTTGTCTTTTTGTCAGGTGCACGAGGAAGAAAGATTGTGAAAAGGCTAATATGCCGAACCATTGGCTATGGAGCCCAGAAGGAATATGCCTGGCCATTATTAGTGCACACCCTCAAAACATGAGTCGCAAAGCCCCGGGCAAGGTATGAAAAATTGAATATTTGCCCATTGTGTACATAAAACACACACAGTTTCTTTATTGTCTCCACATTGTGGGCAGTCGGTTTTTTAAGCTGAAGATCATTGATTAAGCTTGTGTAACTTTTGCCTATTTTTCCATTTATAAAATGCCTTTATCCAATATTGCTCTATTAGTATGTGTATGAAACAGTAAAATAACACACAACTGGTTAATGTTAATTAAGTGGAACATCTCCAAGAGTATTCCATGCCCTCCCGGTACCCACTTGTAGTCCAATCAGGCAGAAATTGAATGAGCAGTTGAGCTTTAAACTGTGCTTTGAAAGTTGACTTGTAATAGGAAGATGGGAATTATCATCTCTGAGGCTACGTCTACACTGGCCCCTTTTCCGGAAGGGGCATGTTAATTTCACCTATCGTAGTAGGGAAATCCGCGGGGGATTTAAATATCCCCCGCGGCATTTAAATAAAGATGTCCGCCGCTTTTTTCCGGCTTTTAAAAAAGCCGGAAAAGAGCGTCTACACTGGCCCCGATCCTCCGGAAAAAGCGCCCTTTTCCAGAGGCTCTTATTCCTTTGAAGTAGGAATAAGAGCCTCCGGAAAAGGGCGCTTTTTCCGGAGGATCGGGGCCAGTGTAGACGCTCTTTTCCGGCTTTTTTAAAAGCCGGAAACAAGCGGCGGACATTTTTATTTAAATGCCGCGGGGGATATTTAAATCCCCCGCGGATTTCCCTACTACGATAGGTGAAATTAACATGCCCCTTCCGGAAAAGGGGCCAGTGTAGACGTAGCCTGAGAGTGGCAGAAGAAGGTGCCAGAAGCTCTGCACTAAATCAATATAACCCCACTTAGTTAGCTTAAGCCTTGAAGCAGGAGGGTTCAGTTCTGTTCCAAAACCCAGGTATTTCGTTTTAACATTTATTACAATTCTGGGTATTCCTCTTATTTATATAAAAATGTTTAATCCCTTATTGAATCCTGCTGAGGTTTTCTAACTGAATCTGTGATGAACTAATGGAAGCAAGCTGCTGCATGGGGACCACATCCTATCACTATCCCCAGGTGTTCAGATCTGAAAACTGTTAGTGAAAGTGTCCCATTTCATTAAGATTGCTTTGGTAGAGTGAGAGAAGACACTCGCCATATTGAGCTGTGTTACATCAGCAACTTAAATTGTACCTGACAGTGAACAGAAAGCCAAGGCATCCTCTGAACAATAGATTTTGTGTGTTCTCTATGGCTGACACGCTGACTAAAGTGAATAAGGCACCCTACGTTCTGCACTAGCTGAGATTTGCCAGGTGGTCTTAGACTCTAGCTCTGTTCTAGAATGATGTATGATAACCCCATTAGGAGAAGCCGAGGCATGCATGACCATGTGGGACTGACCATTTTGATAGATCCATTGTTGGGAAATAATCTAAAAGAAAAACATTATAATCAAAACTGAGAAAAGAACATGGAAGTCACTCTCCTCCATGTAATTTACTCTTTCCAGTGATGCATCCTAGCTCATCTTTCATCATGGTCCATCTACTCATCTCAGAAATGTGGTAATTCCTAAAGGAAGCTGTCTTAGAAGGGGGAAAGAGGCTATCTAATTATTGACTATAGTACCAGTGGCTACGGAAACGGGGACAATAAGAAACTATCTTTAAAAATACCCTGTAATTAATACACCAGTGTCCAGCTGCATCAAATCTGTAAAAATACTGGGTTTCTTCCTTAGTCCGTCTCTCACCTTGCTCATTTCCCCTTTCTCTTACTTCTCCCCTATTGATCATGGCAGTAATCAAACACTTGCTGCACTGGTTTTTTTATCGGGACAAGTAAAGCCCACCCATACCACTCTCTCAAAAATCCTTTCCTTAGTGTTTTCACCAAGCCATGGTAGTATTCAACTTTCCTTTTCTGGAAAGTTTGTCTCTTCTAACTTTTTCCCCCCCCAAAATCCAGCTGCATGACCCTAGCCAGCCTTGTGTCTGGCTTCTTTTCATTGTCCTTCATCTGTCCCATATGGTTAATGTTTGTTAACACAAAGACCGCCACAAATATTATATAAAAATTGCTCTGTTACTGGTATTGACCCAGCTGCTGAGAAGTGCAAAAAAGGAACCATTTGGTAGGACTAGTCCATATATAATTTTTTGTATTAATTTAAATGTGTGGAATAGCCGTACAGATTTAAATTAATAGAAAAGTGATAAGTGGGTGTAATAGAAAAGAGACAGAAATGAGATGATGAGCTGCAACTTTGAATCTTTGCGTGACTTTCTGTGGCACCCCATCCATACAAAACACTCATAATTGCACTTGGGTAACAGTTGACCTAGGTGCCAATGATCAGGGCCAGGAAAAAGGACAGCTGAAAATGTTGACATGGAATTTGTAGGGGTTTTGGTTAATTTTTATTCAGGTGGCTGTTTTTCTGACTTTTTTCTAAAGTAGAAATATGCCTCTGTACTTTCCACAGGTAGAACTGACTGTGAGTCCATTGCCAGATTTGACTGAAAGTGATCAACTTTGGTGTCAGTTTGGTGAAACCACTCAAGTTGCAAAGTTGACAGATGGGACTATTATTTGTGATCCTCCCCAGACAATTCCTCACACTCCAAAAGGTCAAGGTAAGAATACTATGCTTCCTCCCATTTATTTTATGTGGGGTGATTGCTACCAGCATAATCCTCATTATGTATTGTTTGCATGTAAGTTTTTGATGTTCAGCTCTATGGACTGATTTTTTCTGTTCTTGATCCCTTCCTAGCTTCAACAAAAAACAGTGCAGTCACTTCCATGCATGAGATTAGTGAAAATAGTTAGGTCAAAATTAAGGTTTTCCAATTATTTTGAAGGTTTAATTAGGTATAATTAAGGTATAATTAAGGTTTTCCAATTATTTATTACTTTCATTGTTTACAGTAGGAACTTGAAATTAGAGAGAAGAGGCCAGAGATATGCCTTTTCCTGTAACGGTGAAAATCTGTCTAGATTTAACTGATTTATCTGACTCCCAGAAGCTGACTCCTCTAGCTTCGTAATGTTCTGAATCTTCAAACTGCCTGCCTGTTTCTCCTTCACCCCTGACCATGCTTTCTCATCTGGCACTTCTGTACAAACCATTCACTACATATCTTTCAAATTCTGTAACAAGTTATATGTGTTCTATGAAAGAATAGAATGTCATGTAATTAAAGATGTTATCATTCTGCATCCCTGCTAATATGCATTCATTTTCCATGAGCAATTGTATTTCTTCCAGTATTCATATGTATGGAGGGCTTGACTTCATAGCAGTGTTCCCTAACAACTAATATATTTTTCTGTATGTTATTTCTATTCTGCATGCAATAACGTTGCATGAATTATTACAATAAGTTTTAAGGCATTCTGATGGTTTATCTTTTCTTAGAAATACTCATGAATATGGCTTTCTTGATATCTGGCAGAATAAAATTTCAGTGTTCAAGCACATTAGCCATCTTTGTACTCAGCTGATGACAGTTAGGTTTAGTTACAGAGAGAAGAGCAACATACAGATGTTGAACTGCTGTATCAAACTGCTGAGAGAGATGAGATACGAGAAGGTACCAAGTATGAAGAATAAAATAACGCTCCAATATTTAGTGGCCAATTCACTTTTTCTAAATCTTCTGTAATCCAGATGATTTGAAAAGACTTAAATCCTTCTTGATAAAGCTGTTGTAGTTTGACTCGATTCAGCACATGAAGTGATATAGGAAGCCTATCAGGAGGAGCTAGCATTAGAGTAATCAAGCCATATAGAAATCCATCTGGGCAAACCTTCAAAAACAATGTAAAAATACTCGATTTCACAGGCATCACATCAGAGAGAAAACTATAACCTCCAATAACAATGGAATGATTGCTGGTAGAATGTGACACACATTCAGACACAACCATTTAGTCTTGAGAAGCTCCACTATTCTGAAATCATCCACACTGCTGTAATTGTCGAAAAATTCCAAAGGAATGATGATATGTTCTAATTCGAAGGACACCTACTTGCAGATCCCGATAGAATGAGTTGAGTACAAACCTAACTGAAATTTTCAGGATGAACTAGTGGTAGGCAAAGTGGTCTTACAGCCAAGCTGCCATCACACTTTCAAGAAATTATTTGAGGAAAGCACAGTTTGAAATTGCTCAGTAGCTTGTGAAATAGCTTATCACAGGAGTTTAATGATTTCTGCAAGAGGAATTGTAAAGATCGTCATTGCTGAAAGCTCTGATTTCCAAAGATAGGTTTTCCATTCTTTGTTCAGTAATGATCCAGATTAGAAATACAAAGTTATGTACAACAAGCCCAAAGTCTAAAGTAGTAATTTTAACAATTCAGGAATTATTGTGCTTAGTGAATAACTTGTGCAAGGGTGACTTGTTCTAATTCGTAAGTGTTTATAGAGTTTTGTGCAAATGACGAGCAAGCACTTTTACAAGAAATATCTATTTATGAAAGTATTTTCTTAAAATTAATTCTTTGCATATCATTTTTCTTCTCTATCCAATTCTCATTTTCCTTAATGACTCAGTTTTCATCATTCTATTACTTTAAGATATTTCCATACTATAATACTATTCTGTAATGTTGCTTACTTACCATTTCTATTTATTTATACTATCCTGTCTTTGCATCATCAGATATTGAAAATTTGGTAAAAGTTAAGAACAAATAAAATTAGTCCTATTATGACTCATTGATTAATTTTGACCTTGTGATTATCAAATATTGCAGATAAATGTTTGTTTTATACCCTGAACAACTAATAATAATAATAAAATGATTGCACCGTCTTATGCAAGAGCTAACATATTCAACTTTATTTACTTTTTTCGGTAGATCATGTTTCAGTTTCACTGACATTAACTTTTGTGAAGAAACAGATATTTTTTGCATCGGCTACATATCCATTCTATGACTGTGAAGAAGCAATGAATCTTTCTGAAAATCTGCCGTAAGTATTATATCTTCTTGAGTTGTTGCATCATGCTATATGTGTTCAGGTAACTGAACTATTTAGTTAATGCAGCTGAATCCTTTTATAGAAAACCCCCCAGCGCAATCAGAATTCTTTAATATCCAAATTCTTCCTTTACATTTCAGTAAAGCTTAAGACATTATTCTAGTGCACAGATCAACTACTGCCTAGTTATATTGCAAATGTTTTAATAGACATAAGATTTAAATTGAACATTAAAATGTCATATTTGCATCTGTACTTCGGTGGATTTCCATTTTTGTGGGTGCAAAAATACCTGTGTAACTGGGCTCCCCCAGGTGGATATGAACCTGGGACCTTTAGCGTAGGAGCCTCTACAGCTTTAGCTATAAAGATAGCTGCCTCTCAGCTGTTCTGTAGAGTTCACTCATTCTTATCTTTCACTGTAAGTGGTCTAAGTGCCACTACATGGGACAATGAACCAAGCCCACTAGCTGTGTGGGTTACACCTACACTTAGGTTCTGTCAGCATCCAACTTGTAGATTGAATTTACATACTGAAGAGTCAGAGGTGAATTATCTGATTTGCAAGCATGAACTTGAGCTATTTGGGTGTCTAAGGCTATCAGGCCTCTCAAATTCAGGCCCAAAGTTCCTGTGATCCATACTATGGCTTTCTGATGCATGTTGCTGATACCAGAAGCAGGTTACCAGACAGAATTCTTTAATTATTCTCACAATGAAATTGTGAACTCAGCATAGTAATGATTTTGTAGTAAATAGTTCTTTCTGTGACTAAAAATTCATTTTTTTTAAATAACATTTGAATATTTAGGACAAAAAAAAGTCTTATTGATGCTCTTCACATTATATTTGTAGATGCTATTCCTGTGCAAGCAATCGATGGAATTGCCAATGGGACTGGGAAAAAAACATCTGTGAAGAGTCATCTTCAAAAGAGGATGTGATTAAACAAAATATGGTAAAATTTTAAAATTAGAATAGATTAGATTTTATTTGAACACTTGCATATTTTCTTGAACATTGCAAGTTGATCAGTTCAATTCAATGTTTACATAAAAACAATTATTCTAAAATTAATTTCAGAAAATACAATTTTTATGACTTAAAGTGGGGGTAGGAATGTAGAGCTGTGAGTAGGAGGGGGAAAACAAGACAGAATAATTTCTTAGAGGATATTTTTGTTCATTTTACTATTTTGCTTTAATGGGAGAAATAAGATTTCAGGGCTGGAAAAGATAATGATCTACAGCTTTGGCATATTCTGTAGTCATTTTTAGTGTGTCTAATTTGAAAGGGTGTAATCAAATCTGTCATTTTATTTTAAGCATGGAGTTTTGTCAGAACAAGAATTCAATCATCCAAAGGCTATTGAGGTTTGTTTTGATGGATGATTTTTATTTTAAATGATGTATAAAATTCTTATCTCCATAGGAGAGAGAATGCCCACAGTTTCTAAATCCCAAACCTCCAATAATACCAATGGATTACCCAACAACAGTTCATTTTGAAGGAAAGAATCTAGAAAATTATCAGGTAAATGAATTAATTCTGAATAGTCATTTGACTTTGAGCTCATCCTAAATTCCTAAGATATTAGTGTGTGTTTCTTCTGGGTAATGTTACTGCTTACAAAGCTCTTTTAAATGTGTGTGTAGCTTAATTGTACTTTCCTTTGAATGCCAGGATACATTTTTTTACTCTGTACTTGCTTTCAGAAATCCAGGTTGAAGACCAGACCTCGTTGAAGTCAAAAGCAAATCTCCTGTTGACTTCAATGAAGTCAAAATTTCATCTTGAACATTTAAATTGTTCTTGACCGAGGGACAGTCTCCTCACAAAATGGAACTCCTGGTGGAAGCATTTGTTGAAGAGAAAACAATGGATCTTTAGTTTCCATTAAAAAAGTGAAACTGCTGTTTTTCTGTCTCTCCCATTGAAAAAATTCAGTAAGATGTTACAGTAAATCCCCAAGCTATTATATTACATCGGGGAAAACTGCTACCAGAACAAACAGCTGAGAGAGGCCCTGAAAGGGAGGTGAATTCCAGTGAGTAGTTTTCCTTTTAAATTCTAAGAGAAAATGTTATCTGAATCCTCAAAAGTCAGGCAGGCTTTCACAATGTTGAGGAACTGAAGTCCCAGCTTCAAAGGTGTTTGAGAGAGCACTCGCATGCAGTTCAGTTTTTTTCTACAGAAAGATCTTGGCTACAGAATTCTCTTCTCTTGATATGCCATACTTTTCTATACATAGGCATATGTAAACCATTGTTTAGTGTGTGTATTGTCCTATGTGCCCAATTCATGGAGGATTCAAGTCTCTGAGGGCATGTCTACACTACAGAGAAGATTGACCCTCTGGAAGTTGATATTCTAGTGTTCAAATTAGCGAGTCTAATGTAGAACCCCCCCTCCCCCCCAAAAAATCTAACTCGAGGGCATTCCCTACTGGTGTCTTATATTCATCATCCTGTGAGGAGTAAGGGAAGCCAACAAGAGCACGTTCTTCCTTTGGCCTCCTGCAGTGTAGACACCGCAGCGGCTCGGCTTAAGGTAAGCCAAATCCAGCTATGTATTTTGTGCAGCTGGATTGCATACCTTAAGTCACCCTGCCTGGTCTAGTGTAGACCAGGCCTGATAGTCCTCAATTACATAGCTTATTTGTTTTCCTCAAACGGTAGAGACTCATTTTAGTTCTGGAGGTGCCTAGTTCAGGCCTTGGTGTCAGTCAAGATAATGGCCATCTCACACACATAAGCATGCACCCTTTCATGGCTTTTCTATCTGTACTGTGAAGAGGGTGAAATACAGCTTCGGCAATGTAATTTGTAGAACTTTGAAAGAAGTATTGTGTGCTGTAACTTAAAGTGGAGAGGAGTAAGCAAAGAATCAGGCAATGTACCTTCAGAAAGATCTCTGATGAAATTTAGAAATTGGATGATTATAAAAATCTCATACAATTTGGAGAGGGACAGTCATTTGTGTGTATTGGGGTTGGAGATGTGGCATGTGAGATTAAAAAAAATGGTTTTAGAGCTATTCAGGAAATTATATTTGCTTTCCTTAAAGGTTCCTATAGTGAAATATTTGAGAAATATTTTTGAGTTCGAATATTCTTCAAAAGATGTTGGTGGTATTTCAACAGAAACTTAATAATAACTCCCCAAATAACTATTTTGAAATAAGTGTTATTCCTCGTGGCAAGCAAGAAGAGTTATTTCAAAATAACCAGACCCTTATTTTGAAATAGCTCCCTGCTGTAGACCAGGGCCTTATGTTTAAATGTATTGATGGAGTTGCGTTGCTTTTAGCTTTGGTAAGTAAATCTTGTAAGCTACACTGAAGCTTCTGTCTACTGTCATTTTTCTTTTTCTCCTTTTTTTTATTTTGTCAGGCGAAGCCTTTTAGGAGTTTTCCTCCATTTTCCTCCTTTCAGGAACTTATATGGGAAAAAATCCTCTCTTCATAATACAATAATGCTCTTGGGAGTTTGCAGTGGAGGGCTTTGTTTCCTACGACTATTCTCAAACCCAGTCTTTTGATGGATGAAAAACTATCCTCTCCCTATTTTTGTCATTGAGAAAGGACAAGAGGAAGAGAAAACCATTGCTGCCCCTTGCTATTGCTATTAAAAACAACGAGCAGTCCTGTGGCACTGTAGGCACTAACAAAAATAAATAGTAGCATAAGCTTTCTTGGGTAAAACTCACTTCATCAGTTGAGTTGAAGTGGAAATGAGAGCGAGCGAGAGAGAGAGAGAGACATTTTAACCTACCTGATCACTCAGTCATGGTTTTAGAAGTAGTCATTCTTCTACAAAAGAAATTCACAACCCAGTTACAGAGAGGGACTGCAGAACTGGAAATTATCTCACACTGTTACCCAGGGCTCAAATAAAGATATTAATTGGTTAACGCACTGCAAAGCCAATTTCTCCTGCCTTTTAACACCTCTATTTTCACATCAAAAGCTATGAATGGGACATATGCAGCCCACTTAATTAGCTTCATTAACACGGGTCCTACAATTGACAGGTACTTCTTTTCTTGTTATATATACCTTGGATTCTGTAATTTCCACTTCAGCCCATCTCATTAGATGGATTTTACTCACAAAAGCTCATGATACTTTACATATATTTTTGTTGGTATCTAAGGGTATGTCTACACTAGCCCCCTAGTTCGAACTAGGGTGGCTAATGTAGGCATTCGAACTTAGATACTAACAAAAATATATGTAAAGTATCTTATTGGAACGAGGTGTAGCAGTTAATCCGAACTAATGACTTAGTTCGGATTAAGGGTACGTCTAGACTACCGCGTTTTGTCGACGGAAGTTTTGTCGACAGATACTGTCGACAAAACTTCCGTCGACAGTTTGCGTCCAGACACATGGAGTTCTGTCGACAAAGCAAGCCGCTTTGTCGACAGAACTCCGTAGTCTGGACACAGTGTTACAGGCAATAACACCTTCTGTCGACAGAGTTCTGTCGACAGAAGGTGTTATGCCTCGTAAAATGAGGTATACCAGCGTCGACAAAACCGCGGAGTTCTGTCGACGGTATGTCGACAGAACTCCGCGATAGTGTAGACGCTGGTATTGTTTTGTCGACAAAAGTCCACTTTTGTCGACAAAACTAGGTAGTCTAGACACACCCTAACTTCTGACTGCCGCGTGTAGCCGCGGACAGTCAGTTTAGACTACGGGGCATTTAAAAATGGTGCCTGCCCGGGAACATGCAAATGAAGCCCAGGATATTTAAATCCTGGGCTTCATTTGCAAGTTCGAATGCCTACATTAGCCACCCTAGTTCGAACTAGGGGGCTAGTATAGACATACCCTAAGGTGCCACAGGACTACTCTTTTTTAAAGTTACAGACTAACGCAGCTACCAGTCAGATTTTTTTAATATGCAAACTATTGCTATTAGTTACATAAACCTTTTTAACCCAAAGAATAGCGATCACTCCTGTTTCTGGGCCACAGCTACATATTAAACAAATTTGGGCATCTCCAGCCTCAGACTTATTTAGATGGGTGCAGTGGAAGAAGGTGGCTTACCTATTCTTGCAGCAAGGCTGGATAGTTGAGTAACCAAAAAAACTTATAAAAGTATTGGGAGGTAACCATCTTGCCATGTACCACAAAGAAGGGACCAGAACCCCCCAGTGCCTCATGAAAATTCTAGTTTAAGGAGGAGCAGGCCACTGAAAGAAGTCTCAAAGTCCTCCAAAGGCATCAAAACTAAGGAAGGGACATTCCATGCTGAGGCAAAGAGAATAGTGAAACTTTGTTTTCATGCAAAGCTAGCAAAGGCACCAGCATGACTTGGAATTCTCAGATAAAGTTCGTGTAATCCCAAGATCAACCCTGCAGACAAAACCTGCCTGCTTTGGTTCATAAAACTCTCATGAGCCCCGAGCATGGGATTCACACAGCTCTGTTTGCAACACAGCTGATGAGGGAATGCGCGTGCTGGGTAACACTGGGTTCTGTTATTACTTGCTAAAAATGAATACTAGATACTCTCCTATTTTATTTGTGTTGCTCCGAAGCTTGACCATTAAATGGATGTTGGAAAGGGAATGTTGGCACAAGTAATAGACTGTTGATAATAGGGATGTAAACAAGTAACCAGTTAGTCAGTAAGCGTAACTCTTACCAATACCCTGGAACAGCCCCACAGTGGTTGGGGGCCAGCCACCCCATGTGCAAAGGGGGCCAGAAGCAGAAGCCAGCCTCTCCACAGGCAGGGATGCAGGCTTCTGCTGCCGCTCCCCCTCGCCCCCATGTAGGGGGGGAGGGCCAGGAGCAAAAGTCAGCAACCCCACAGGCTGGATGCTGCTCCAGCCAGGCTGGACCAGTCCTCCCCCCAACCCCTGAGATCCTGCTTAATTGATTAGCTGATTAAACCTAAGTTTTGACCAGGATTTTACACCCCCTAGTTGATACTATCTTTAGCTTTGGGTTTCAGGTAATGATTTAATTGGTTAGCTTTCTAAATCTGATCTTATCAATATCCATGCTGAGCAGTATATTGCTTATTTACATTTTATTAAGATCGGTGGTACTGTAAACATTCTAACATGAACATTTCTCTTGTATAGGATAGGTCTTTTAAGATTGGAAATGACCAATTTGAATTTGAGGCTTCTGTTTACAAATCAGAGAATGAAACTTTCTCATTCCAAAGTAAAGAGGTAAATATATACCCTTTCTGTCTTGTTATAATACAGTGTGTGTGTGTGCTCCTGGCCAGCCGGCCCACAGAGAGAATAAACCCAAATTACAGACTTTTATGGTGACTTTTTCACCCAAAGTGGCAAAAACAACTTTTGGAATAGTAATTTCTCCATTTCCTACTGCCACTTCTCCTCCCCCTCCATCCTGATAGCAATGATTTCAGCATGTATGCAGCTCAAGCATTCCTTAAACGATGCCTGTGGAAACTCTGGACCATATGGTTTTGATTCAGCCTGATCAGACTGATTGAATATTGAGGTAGGAGACAGAACTCTTGAGTTCTTCCCTGCCTCTGACTCACTGACCTTCCTGTGATTTAGTTTCTTAGCCTATAAGAATTTCACCATCCACTGGAATTAAGTGTGACCAATGTCAGGGTGCCTTTTCAGAAAAGAGAAAATGTATGCAAAGTTTGTTGTTTTGTTTACTAAGTTATGAGTCAGGACTAAGCTTAAGTAAATAAGCTGAAGGCCTACTAGCTCACCTCAAAAATTTTTATTTCTGAGGACTGATTAATATCTATGTCACTGTTACATTGATTTATATTCTATATGTTTTTATCTCACCCACTTTTTGGGACCTTATATTATGGTCATCTTCTTTTAAATACAAGAAGAATTCTATGTTTCAGAGCCAGAATGCTAATTTTTGATTAGCCAGAGAATGTGTATTTATTGGCAGGGAGGGCACTACACTGTTGAAGAGACATGAGGCCTTCCTTACCACTTTGAGTGAGTGTGCTATATTGACAGGAATACTACATCCTGAT